TAAGAAACAGGTAATAATATGGTAGGACAATCCGCTCCCCCGCCTCTACACCATCCCCCTTTGATATGGTCAGTGGTTGAATACTTTTTTTGGACTGGTTCAGAATTGCTTTACTATTAATTACAACGATATTGTTGGTGGCTTTCTTTAGGTTCACGTTATCAGTCTACTTTTTTTGTCCGCAATTAACTAACCTTCTACACGAACTCTGTGATAAGGTAAAAAGCCGAAGGAATTTTGGTGGCTTTCATTTAAAATCCCCTAATTACCTGCTAAATTTGCTGAAACAGAATGTTCCCCTAATGAGCACTGACAGCGAGTATGAAAATGGGCTGATTTTATTAAGGCAAGGTGAAGAGTGTAAGTGTAGTTTCATGACCGTTCTATGACGTAGTCGGTTATCTAACAAATCTCACCCTTAAAGTGTTTTAGTGCTAACAGATAGCAATGCGAGTGCTATAATGGAAAGTTCGACTTCAATTTATCCATAGAAGATGCTATTACCAACTACAAATTAGCCGCCTCTTGTGATAATACACATGTTTAAAGTTTTGCTGGCCTTGAAAGCACACTTTGATGCCGTTTTGCCTTTAGAAAAAATACTAATTTTCCTTTTATGTATACATTAACAGCTGGGAGGAAAAATGCAATACCACCGCTTTACAGTTTATTTAGATGAAGAAACACTTTGACAGACATTATTTGTTGTGCTGCAATAAAAAGGATGGTGATAAAACACAAATGGTTGCATGCCTTCAGTAATTTTGTTTAAATCATCATTATATGGCACATCAAGTCAATTTGAATTCGGTGCAATCTTTTGATCAGGAAGTTCCAAAATTGGACTAACAAAACGGTCTAATTTTCCAGCAATGTAAATCCACGATTGTAAAAGGGTCATGATAAGCCGAAAAACAACATTTATGACGCCTTGAGTTACCTTCGGCTATATGGTAGCCATTTTTCCAAAGCAGCCTCATCCAACGCACAAGAATCCCAGTTTTCTTATTTTCTCTCAATCAACTTAAAACCTAATTGATGCCTGGTATTTTCGACACCTTACAATCGAAGTCATAAAAGACAGGTCCACAATCGTGGAAAAAAAATAAATGATTAAACATTTGTTAAACCAACGGAAAGACAAATAAGCGTAGACGTAAGTGGATTTCAATGTGATAGGATGTTACTTCGCCTAACTGATGACGTTAGGATAAGAATGCACTCAGTGTGACTCACAGCATATTGGCCACAAACGGCTTCAGTAAATGCGTCAGAGCAAGCAGTTCATCCTTTTCAGTTCCATTTACAGCCGCATGACGCCCATACGCGTCCTCCAAGGTGATGAAATAGACGCGCAACCACTCGCTTATAGCATGCATCAGGGCCGACCAGACGTTGCCACGACACACAGCCGTGGAGTCAGGTAGCAACGGCCTTGACGAGAGCCAATCAAGGCGGCGGAAGGCTGTTGCAGCACGCAGATGCGTTTCCAGGTATGAGGCAAGTGCACCGTGAGTGACTTGGAAGGCTACAGTGTCTAGAGGGTCGCCCTGCCAGACAAAGGAGCCAGAGAGGTGAGACTCTCCAAGCTCCTGTCGCCAATAAAATCGATGAGAAACGATGCCCAAGTGAGCTGAGAAGAGGTCATGGGTGAAATCTTTCCGAAGGGAGGCGATTCGCTCTAGGGTAAGTGAACCCAAACGAACTAAGAAAGGCGAGGCTTCTTGTTGGGTCTGAGGACGAAAATTCGACTGATAGCGAGACTTAAAGGTGCACAACAGGGCGTGAGTAGAAAGCGGGCCCATTTCACTTAAGTAGGGTTTTTCCTGGACCGAGGTGAGACTGAAACAGATAAGAACAGAAAGTGCTGCTGGAAGATGTCTTTTATCAGCATTTCGTGTTAAAAGAAAAAACTTTTACGATTTCTTCTGCAGCTTTATAGTTAGTGGATGTAAGCTTTCAATCTGACGTTCGCTAATTCACTCAGATTCGACTATTTCATTACGTAGTGGATGAGTTTACCTACGAAATCTTTGAAGCAGATTGTTCTGTGCATGTTGATCATTTCCTGTACACCTCCTTTTAAATGGGAAAGAAAAGATGGTCAAATCTTATACCACAGGGCAAGTACCCCAGATGTGATTGAACCCATCAAGCGACAGCTCCAAAGGATAGTGATGAGGATGGCAAAACTAAAATTTACCCATTTCGTCCTTCCCAGGTAAAGGTTGCTACTGTTCCGGTAGAGCTGACGGTTCCCGCTTTCGATATGACTCGGAGAGCACTACAGAGGTGTGGGATTCCTTCAAGTAATGGCTGGATGTTCCTCCCTTTAGTACTCAACTGAGTTGTGTCAGTTGAACCTAAGCCCTGCGAAAACAAATAGCAGCCTAGCAGACGTCTGCGCATTAACGAAAAACCTTGATTAGAGTTTATTAGAAGTCCAAAGTGGATTATAGCTATGGATCTCGGCTATGTAAATATGGCATTACTAAATAAAAAGCAGTCATTGAATCCCCACAAATCCCCCCAGCGGTTTACAAAAGAAAGAAGAAACTCAGTAGATGGCATTAAGTCCAACCATTATTTCCGTAAATAAAAGTCTTGAAGAGCTGGAGTAAAAGCAGGTGCACAAGCTAAAAAATGTACTCCATGGGCCAATTACAGCCTATCAAAGTTCAGACAGAATCTTATACTGTAATGGCGTACCCTAATTTTACGCCAGTAGTAATACTTTGTGCATGTACATCTAATCAGGCTGGTTTTTCCTTCCGCATTTCATGCTTCAACTTGGCGGCATGCCCAACCAATCATCCCTACAGCCTCGCGGCCCCTCTAAACGTTAATAGCAAATTGCTTTTATGCTAGTGTGATCTATTACAATTTTTGGCAAAAGTAAAAAGGATACTTCACTCTATTATCAAAAATTCTTCATGGCATTAATTTGTAAAAGATTTTAATAAAGTGGAATTGTACATACCAAATCCGTTTGTTCAGAAAACCTAGAATGACGAACGGATAGAGGGTGGTAACATATTTCAAACGACAACATATAAACAGCACTAAGACCACTTACTTTCTATAAGGATCATTTAAGTAGTTTGTGGGAATAAAAAGTGTGGAATTCTTGTCACTATCTTGAAAGATGGAGGATTTGAATGTAGTGAAAGCCCCCAAATATTCACACGTTCTTGGGATCCTAGAACATTTAGAGTAGTTGAAAGCACTTTTACAAATCTAAGAAGTCATTATTTGACCGCGTAATTACCCAAGAACTGTTTTTCATGATCTGGTTGTCATTATTGTAAAATGAGATTCCATTTAGTTCTCTCCATTTCAAAACATGGTATGAGTCACCGAGCTGCCATTAAACATTAGACAGAAAATTAGTCGCAAACCGTTGGTGAAATATGAGACTCGTCCACATCAACATTCACAAGGGAGAAGACGAAAATAATGCATGCACTTCGACTTCTAAGAGAAACTGGAAAAAGTCATTTGGACGATTGCCTACTTTGCTCTAGCTTCCGAAGAGATTTTGTGAGCGCAACCAGTCTTGCCAAGAGACCATTTTTACACAAATATTCAACAGTAGACCTGGACAAGACTGCTTCATATTCCGCTGATGGTGGAGGCAGTTTCCCTTTAACAAACCTAAGCACATTATGTAATGGTGAGAATTACTTGTGAGGACCGGGTAAATACGAAAAATAGGCATTGAGAGCGGCTACCCGCACTCTTCGCCACTGGTCATCAGATATGCAAGGGTTTTCGGCAGTACAGATCCCGTTAAAATTTAGTGCTAGAATTTCCTTAGAAAACCTAAGGATATCTGCCATAACACAAAGTAACCTCCCAGTTAAGCCAACCAAACATTGGCCTTGAAACTAAAACGCCCGGAAGGCACAAACGACTGCATTTGTGTACAACCCAACCAGACGCTAATTATTATGGTATTATAGAATGGGCTTGCTGTCCAAATTAATATCCTCGCATTTTTAAACCAGGCAGTTAAACCAATATTTATTCAGTTTTCACTGCTGTCCTCAACTTTACAAAGAGCTTTGGCATTTCAACCCTTAATCCACTTGAATATCTGCAGACTTAAAATCGTCCTAAAAAATAAGTTGCAATGCGTCAATCGTTTGTTGGCCTCGATTTTGGCTAAAGGACCACTTTGAACCTCCTCCGTTTTGCCTTCACCAAGCAGGCTGTCCTCCGAACCACGCCAGTAGCCACAAATTCTTCTCTATGTTGGACACGTACAAACTCTTTGAGCATTATACCTTTCTTCGCCTTTAGAGAAGTCACAATGGCTACATTAGTGGCAGAGAAAAGGATATGTGATGTTAAGTGAAATGCCCTACTTCCTGCAGCTTGGTGATACATCTTTGTAGGGTGGGAGACGTGTATATGATGTGGATGAAATTATCAGTGACTACTTAAAAGAGAAGGCTTGGTAAAGGGCCTACCTGCAGCATCTACCCCGTAGTCTGTGGGAAACCTACAAACACCTAAAGTGGCATTAGTCGTGAACCATCTGTCAGAGCATGTAACGAAGCTGTCTGCATTGCCTGTTCGTAGATTTAACTAGGAGAGCATGTGAAATCTCCTTTATCCTTCTGTCAGGGGAACAGAATCCAAGGGTGTAATACGACTGGGCAACATTTATTGAGAACAGCGTGGCATAGTGAAATCATTGCAAAACTCCCAAACCCCATCCTTTGCTACGCAACTCTGTCTTTAGGCCAAGTCTTAACGACTGGCTATAAAGAATCGTGGCGGTCAGCACAATCCCGGTCTCCAAATTCATTTGCCATATAGAACGAAACCCAAATATAGTAGAATTGTCAAGACAAATCAGCAACTTTGCCGTCAAATACCTCACTTGCATGGAAACCCGATGAATGCTGCGGTTAATTTGTGGTTTTTTTTCTTGCAGCGCTGAATGCGCTATGGTGGATGAGGAGGAAGGTTGGCCAAAAGAGCGCTGAGAACCACGCTCAAGACAGGGGCTGGGTAATACATTAGTCGATTGTTTACCTCTCGGTTTTGGTTAAATGCTAGTTTGGATCTTCGCTGCCGCATCCAAACGAGTGGTCTGGTCTCCGGACCATTCGGGTAGCTTCTGCCATTATGTTCTCTTTTGTTTTAGTGAAGTCTCGGGGTGCATCAAATATAATTGATTTAAAATACATTTGTTAAAAATTCGGGGTGCTTGTTAAACATCGTCAGAATCATGGTTGAATTCAACTTTTTTGACTGCATTATTTAGCGTTTAGAGCGAAGTTAACCCGTTTATTTTAATCGCATACAGTGATTTGATTTGTTTGACGTTTTCATCAACTACCCCTTACAGGATGTGACTTCGTTTATGAGTTATATCTGCCGATTATGCGATCATGCAGCCAAAGTTAGGGTTGGAAGCGAGAAAGGAATTGCTATTTCCGTTCTTATACATGGGTTTACTATCCTTTAATTACTTGGTGCTTTGGTGTCCATTATTCTCAAAAATGCAGGTCTTAACTCGTTTACACGTAGTTTCAAGAATTTTGCGATTTCTCGCATGAAGATTCCAATGAAATGCTAGACATCAATCACAGCCAGCTACAACTTCAAGCCATGTATGTGCGTTTGATTTGGTGTGTCTTTGTGAAATTTCCTGTCCGTGTGATGCCCCTTTTATGTTGAACTCATATTCCAGGTGTCTTTTATTGTACCTCAAATTTCTGCTTATTTACTCACTTGGAAACTGTTCTGTAGTAGTAGTTTTTCTAAGGGCATATTTGCTTGTGTACATGTCATTGTTTTTTTTGCGACATCTTTTAGTACAGTTGTTCCACCACTTTGTCTTTGTCTTATTCAAATAAAGACATATGCAAATGTTGTCTCTTGATCTGCCACGCCTCTTTGTGTCACCCACTTTTTTCGTTTGCCTTTAGGTACTCAAGATTCCAGTTCTATTGATCACCGCCCTTTTGGGACTTTTACCCCTATTGACACTTGGTTATATGTTCGACGTCGCCCTATTATCTCATGAAATTCCCAATGATACTCAGGATATGTTCATACCCGACCCCTACGACCCATATTCTCCTCTTGTTCGCTGCTCATTTCTTCCCAGACACTCATTTTGGTGTGAACCACCAGAAGGTATCAAAAATCTTTAAGAATCATTTCCATCCTGGCGTCGTCTATTTTTTTTAGCCATTCCATCCTGTATCATTGATTTTCGAACTCTCGTACCTCTCAATCTAGTAAAGTAGTGAATGGATATTTAGGCGTTTAATGTACTTAAGTATCGAACATGTGTGGTCAAAGGCTTGCCACTTGGGTTTATTTTGATCGGCAGAAGTCATTATCTTGTTATTGTTCATTACATTGTTTTAGATCTGCTGGGCAATAAAACACTTTATGAACAACTTGGCGGCCAGGGCTGTTATAAGTGGGGTGGAATGTATCCGGAGGAGGTGCAATTGACCACACTCACCTGCCACGCATTACCGGGCATTGAATGCTATGGCAACCGCACTTTCCTCCTACCCAACTACCCCTGCTTGCGCTACCATGGTTACTACTTCCTCACTACCCTCCTTTACAGCATCTTTCTTGGCTTTCTTGGTGTCGATCGATACTGTCTGGGGCACCTGGGCACGGGGGTGGGTAAGCTGCTCACCCTCGGCGGTTGTGGCATTTGGTGGATTGTTGACATCATCCTCCTCGCTCGTGGCGATCTTCGTCCAGCCGATGATAGCTCTTGGATGCCCTTTATCTAGTGAAGGATAATCAATAGTTCTCCTCAAACTACTCATTTATTATTAAAAAAGTTCTGTCTAGTGTGTTTTGTTTTTTTTCGTACTGTACACGAGATGTTTTTTTTGGGTTCAGTGGTGTACATTCTGTTCGGTCGATGTTGGGGTAGACCACTCTTAGTCTTTATCTCATTCGAATTTTCCAAAAGAACTTTCTAAGCATACCAATCGAGTGTCTCCCTGTTGTGTTCATGTTGCCTGTTTCTCATGCACACTTCATTCCATTTGAGGATGGAAGAAGGAGCCAGCATCACAATATCCGATCCGAACTCGGAGTTTGCCGCTAAGTATCCGAACGGCCTCACTTTAGACGATCTTCTGCCCTTCTACGAAGACGTGGCACAGAACAAGCCTATCCAGTTAGAATGGAAGTTTCCCGGTCGCATTAAGCGCCCCTCAACTCAAGGTGCTGTTATGAGTTTTACAAAGGTTCTCCTTATTCTTAGAGATTCTTAGGTTTTTACTGGTCTACGATGAGTGATTTAAACTAAGCTAGAAATTATTCTGATTTGGCTGACTATTATGTTTTGCGGTTATCCGTTTGTACTTAACTGTTATGGGTACAATTGTTACTTGCATTGCAAAAATCTGACATGTATCAACCTACTATGCATTTGAACTTATGAAAGTCTGTAATAAGATTTTTGTCCTTAATTTTTTTTAAGTACCCCTACATTAGGTTGAATTGTCTTAATCTTTCGAAGAATATTAAGATGGTCGTGGCTTTAAGGTCTTAAATCGTTCCCAACACAATCAAGGGATATTTTTATCCGCCGCAGATCTTGAAGCGAAAAAAGACGAAGCTTTAGCCAGTGGTGGCCAGCAGGAGAAAAAACTAGATGAAGCTGAGACCCCTGAGACTCAACAACAACAACAACAACAGCTAAACTTTGCCGAGTTCGATTTTGACACCGAGACCTCCGTTGCTGCCGCTGACACTGCGGCCTTGGTTGCCTCCCAACGTCGACCGCTGGGCGGCTCCGCTCGACCCGTGCGGGAGAGACGCGTTGCGCGGTTGGACAAGATCTTGCAGGAGGACATGGTTCGTCGACGTTTGGAGATGGAACAACTGCGGCAACAGCAACAGCGGCACCAAGCCGAGGCACAACAGGTCCAGTCAACTGAGACGACATCGATGGTAGGGAAGGGAGAGAAGGAACAAAGTGCTGCCGCAGAGACAGAGACCACAGTTTCACAGCCGCTGCCACCATCGCAAGAGTCCCGTCCAATGAAGACAAATGAGGGCAGTGCAGTGTCCACAGATTTGCCCGCTCAGCTGTGAGAAATGGGTATCGCTAGTGAGGGAGGCACTGCGCTAACAGGTGTTATCACGACCGTGTCGCATTAACGACTTGACTTGACCCTATATGTACTTTTTTGTCGATTGATTTGTGATCGGATGGAAGCAGCTTTGTGATACACTGAAATTAAGTAAATTAAATTTAATTCCAATACAGCTGTTGCAGTTGTTACTGTTTCTGGCACTTGAGTGTAAGTAAAGCCATTTTGGAATTATCTTCACATCATTTTTTTGAACTGGGGGTGGTTGCAATATTCCAGACCCAGAACTTATTTAAATAGCAATTTGAAGAAAGCCCATGGTCTGAAAGCACGATACATGTAGGCTGAAGGGATGACTTGGTTAAATAGACCTTTAGGTAGGTGCTCTACTAAGCGATCCTCATCGCAGCTATGTTTGGGGTCTCCAAGCATTGCTCGTTCTGGAAGGTGGTCGCTGGTCAAAACACATCGATCATGGAAACGCAGATAAGGACTAGACGCTACCAGATGGTGGAAAGTTCAGGCTGCAGGCTACTGCTTATGTGACTAAACGTGAGGCAGAATAGGGATCAGTCTGCTGCAATTTCAGATTAGGTAATGGGATTCCGATTGGTAAGTGTATGTGGCTACTACCAAGGAAACAGTGCAAGTGTGACGTTTGGATTGGTCTAAAAGTGACCATTAGGCCATTCTAAACGGCACCAATCGGTAAGAATCTTAATCCGGAAATGTTTAGACAGGTCATAGTGTGTTTTATAAGCGCTCTCCAATAATTAGGGTTACTTTGCGTGTTGATGCACCTCACTTGTCATGCTTTTAGAAATAAGGTGTATATTTAGATAACAGCAATCAAATTTATCCGATTACTAAAGTAGTTGTTTTAATGGGCTTTGCCGGTAGCGCTTGACCCGGTCTTCCCTTAGCTTATGAGGAGTCTGTTTTCGCCAGTTATGAGGGGAAGCGAAACAGAACCAGGTGGTGAGCGACTATGGATCTAGGAGTTATATGTGTTTTTGAGTGAATATTTGCTTTCACGTCTTGGTGTCTTTAATTGCTGCTTAGTTCTCTTACTCTTTGTCATTTTCAGCTAATATTGCGAAATTCGGTATAAGGGCACTTAGGTTTATTTGCTGGAATATAGTGCGTACTTGCACAGTGCTTCATCTCTGTCAGTCAACAATAAACCGGGTGTTGTCGCTTGCATGAATGCCTCAGTTCGGATGAAACTTAGTTTTTCGCACCACAGAGAACTTCCATGTGTTTATTCTAGATGACTTTGGAGCTTCATCTTGTTGAACGGTTCTCGACTATGTTGGTTATGCGTAACTTGTTTTCTTAAGGTAAATGCAAATCCACTAATCAGTCGGTTACTGAAACCGACGAAGGCAGACGAGAATTCAGCGCAAGGCGTTCACGCTGCTCGCGCAGCCGAAGTCGTAGTCACAGCTCTTCTCGCTCCTACAGTTGTAGTCGATCAAGGTCCTCTGACAGCTACCACCAACGCAGACGTCATCAGAAGCGAACACACGGAAGTCGAAGTGGCAGTCGTTCTGTCAGCTCTCACAGTTCACGATCCTACTCCAGATCGAGTTCACTTAGCTCATACTTAGGATCACGGAGCCGCAGCAGGTCACCTTCCTCTTGCGAGGGTTCTAATTTTCAAGAGAAGGATCCCCGAGATCGTTCAATGCGGCATCGCTGGGGAAATAACGTATATTAATATATTTTAATCTTCTTGGACCTTCACCTTTCTTACTGTTTACTGGTTTTTCAGGTTTGGATTGTTGGTGAAAAAGTGAAAGACCTCACCTTTCACATCTGCGATATCTGTGATAAACCTATTGTTGTGTATGGTCGTTTGGTAAGCTTTTAGCTTGCTCTTGCTTTACTCTAGCACTGAAGCTGCGCGGAAATGTTTTACACAGTATTGTCTTACCCCATCGTGTCCTTACTTTTCTACCATTACATTTAGAAACCTTGCAATCACGTGTTCTGCTTCACCTGTGCATCCGCATTACCCGGTACCTGTCATAAGTAAGAAAACATGCTACTAATTTTGCGTGCAGTAGCACGTATAAGCTTCATTTCTGTGGTCCCTTAAGTGGCGTTGAAACAAATTACTAAAATCCATTTCTGTATTTAATGTTTAGCAAGATGGTGGGTGGTTTAAATGAAAGAGGTGCGAATCTCAGCATGTCTTTTTTCGACACCGGTAGATTTTTTGTAGATTATGTTTGCGTCCTCTTGGTTCGGTGAATTAAATAGAACTTTATGCCCTTAGATCGTGGGGATGCAATCATGCTTTTACTGCGAGTAGAACAAGTCCATATTACACGGTCTTGATCAAGGCTAAGAAATAATTGTCCTGGTTATATTGGCTCAGTTTACCTATTTCTCATAATTGTCCGTAGTTTTCGCTGCTCATGCAGAATCCCTACGTCTCGTTCTAGAATTTTCCCAATAGTGGATTTATCTTTCAATGCGCCGAAGCAGTCGCTCTCACTGTTCTTTAGCAGACTTGTTTTCTCTCACGACTTACATTTTCCATCAAATGGTGCACCAGTAGTCTGGTGTCCAAGTTTTGTTATGACCATCAACTTTCCATACGATTGTTATGAATGTCGCGTGATTGGGATTAAATCGGTTACCGAAACTGTTTCCGCTTTTGAGCCGTGACAGTTGTACCCTCCTGGTGTCTCTCCCTACTCCCCTCTATTCCCACCCACTGAAATGTCCTGCCTGAGTTCGTAGCATCTCCTTATGTCTTTCTTTGAGCGCATTCATTATAGTCACCTTTCCCGTAGTACGCTTCCTTGTGTTGCGGTTCTCTCAAATTATCGTGATTCATTGAACCAGTAAACTGAGATAACCCAAGTAGCGAGATGTAATTTCGTTCTTGTGTTGACTTTCCTATGGTAAAAAAGCGCGTTCCATGTGTAGCATTTTCGTTCCCTCTCTCACGCGTTCTCTCTCGCTGTAAACATGCCACCCTTTTTCAGTGCATGTGTCCTCGCGCTTTGCTTCCAAGTCTTCATCGTCGCTCTTTATGGGCAGCGATCTCCTCTCCTCGTAAAATGTATCCTTGATAAGTATATAGTACCACCTCTGAAGGCAGCGTTATGTACTTTCGCGGATTTTTTCAATGGGGTGTCGTTCAGTACCAGACTGGCAGCATCGTTCACACCTTTACTTCATTCCGATGGAGCATGATGATAAAATTTTCGACTATTTTAGCCTAGAAATTCGATGGTTCCCAATCCGAAAAAAAAATGTGGCCTATTCACCTGCAGTTTTGTCGACTGCTAGTGTACAATCAGACTTGGGTTTCCGGTTTGCTGTGATTGTGCCTGTTCTCCTCCAACGGGGCCGAAGTCTGTGAATTGCACTAGCGCAGACATTGGGAAGAAGTTGCATTACTATTGCAAATGGATGAATAGATTCATGATAAGCTGGCGTGCCACGTGGCTTGTCATTTAGAAAGGAAGGACTAAAGTTAGGCACGTAGCTCACATGTGTGTGTTTGGTTCAGGCAAGGCCTCTATTCGACGCCTTGCGGTGGCTGACCCATATGTCGGATGCGAGCTCCTGTATACGGTTTTACTGCCCGTTACTGCTTCGACTTGATCCGCACTAGACGATTTAATGGGTAGACTAGGGTGATGTTTTTCTTGTTAATATTCCACCTGCACTTTTATAAGGGCTTTGTTTTGTGTGTCCATTTGTTAGGTGCGTTTGAGTAACTAGACTTTCTCTGCTGATTCACGACGGCTTCTGTCTGTCTCCTCGCCTGTGTATACATCGCAGCCACACAGAGAGACACGTCGCTCTCTCTCCCTTCCTCCCTTGCTACTTTTTTTTACGGGCGCTCTGCAGTCCCACCCACTCCACCAACCAGCCGACTGGGCGACTCCGACTCGCGCGCAGCCCATGTGGTGTCCTCGTTCTGGGACGTGCCTTTGTGTCTGTCCTTCGTCCGCGCGTTGTCCGCCCCTCACGGCGCGGTAACCCGAAGCCAGCGAATTTTCTGCCCGCGCGACACCATAGTTAATTACATAACTGGCCTGGAAGCACTGCATTGAAAAGTGACATTGTGACTTCTAGTTCGCTTTGCAAATTTGAGCGCCTGTGACTTCAATAAGAACTTAGAACTAGTGTAATGAATTGAAAAAAAAACCAACTTGTTCAAATTTGGAGTCATGAGACCTGAATCTTAGGCATTGTGTGCATTGGTCGTCAAGGTGCGTGTATTCGGATCGCAAAAACTATCCTGTTTGCTGTCTTCTGTCACTCAGTACGATGCCCCGTTTTTGTCTTTGGAATTAAGGTGTCGAGTAGGATCTACAGTTTCAGTTCAAGTAAAAATCACCTCTAAAGAGATGTTTTTGTCACTTTTTAGTCATTCGCATGTTGTGGAATCTTCCGGTCGATTGTATACTTTTCAACATTAGCTAGTGCCTCCAATCAAGTTTCAAATCTCATGTTTTTCATGTGTAGAACCGTACGACTATCTTAGTAGTCCATCGTTTGTCATCCCTTTCCTCTTTCAATTATACAATCTCTCTAGGTTTTCCATTAAATAAAGTATATCGCAAAGTTGCTAATAGGTAAGAAGAGTCACCATTTACTGCAATTTCCAGCCATATTTGGCGCTAGATTTCAGGGGTTTAGCTCGCGATAAAAGGCATCCTTCGAATGTGACCTCAACTTTTAGCCGTCTCTATTGATCTGCATGCTGTCAGTTCTGACGCTCTCTGGACCCCATTTGTTGTTTCCGGACTATGCTTTAGACGTCTACTGTCACTCGCCTCTTCCATCACGCTAGGGATGATTTTTCGATCATCAGCCTTACCCGAAAGTTCTTACTGTGGAAGGTAGATAAATGGAGTCCTGGCTGCTTGACCACTAGTGGCATTGGAACCTGTGATTTCTTTTTCTCCAATCACAACCACGTTCGCATCATTTCCTTTTATCAACTCTTGGTTTTGTGGACTCTAAATGGGATTTGTTTTTTTTCCTAAAAAAAAAACGTAAAACCCTCTCGCCTTACGCATCCTTACTTGCAATTATGGCATATTTCGGGCGAATGTCGAGCTGTAATTCCGTAAAACAAATACAGTTAAACTATCTCCTCACATTTTTTCGCCTAACGGTATGTTTGGTGCTTCCATTTGTGTTGCAAACCACAACAGTGTTGCCACTATTGTGTAAGGGTCTTTCTCGTTTCGTTGTTCTAAGGTTTGGAATCAAACTTTTTTTCATTTTGGGATGCAAAAGTAAGGTGACCATAGAAGTTCTTGCTATATTCCATCATACAAAGTAAATTAGCGTAGATTGCCATGAAAAAAATGTTTTATTGGGTGAAAAAACT